AAATGCACACCAATCTTGGTTCAGCATAACTCACCTGCAGCTTTCATCTGTACAGATTTGCAGGCCCATGTGACCTTTACTCACATTAGAGGGACTACTTACTACTTGCTACTCTGACAAAACCTAACCTTGTTGTAACTCAGTTTTCCTAAACTAGCATTTTATCCTAGTATAGTCACATGTGACGCTAATATCTTCTGTGAGCCCCTGAAGACACAATGCACCAAAAGACTTGACACATTTTTGGATTATTTGTAGAAACATTATTTACAATGATTTCTGAGGGGGAAGTCCAATCTGTAATTTTGTCCAATAGTGACAACATGTTTTATCAATGGTATGTCTTGTGTTTTTGTCTGAAGTGTGGGGTGGAGTGGAGTATCCGAGGCGATGAGAGCGCAACTACAGCAGAACTAAGCTTGTAAAGAGCATTTGTAATTTCTCTCAAAGCAGATTTGCTCTTCTACTAATCTAATAAAACCATAGATGGCTGTAAATGTTGTCATTCATTGGCATGAAGTCTATAAACACATATGATAATAAGCAGTTCACATTTGTCTATTGGTACTTGTAGAGGCTGATGATATAGATATACATATACAGTATTTATATATTTATATATATGTATATATTATTTACAGTAGTTCATACTACTCTAATTATAGTGCAATTGGCCTTAGTAATATGCCATGTGATATGTTAATGATGTCATTTTAATAATATTGTTAGAATTGTGTAAAAGTGTAACATCCAGATTAAAATTTGGCCTGTGTGCCATGTGTACCATGTGTGCTTACACATAGCAAGCGATTTTTTGATTAATCGATGTGTCAATGCACAGAGAAATTAGGTTGCCAACTGTTGATAATAGATGATCTGACAAATGACAAGGGAACAACACTTAAATATATAAAAGAGAGGTGAGGATAATTAAGGTAATGAAGCTGCTTTCACACAGAGATCCGCAATAAACGCAGAAACAATATCCGCCAATATGCCGAATGTCAAGTCGGTTTTTCGGAACCAGAGGCATAGGAAAAGACACAAGAACACAATAGTTTTTCTTATTTCTATTATTATATGACCAGCCTAACCATTATTGAAGAGATGATTTTGAAAAATGCATACAGCTTGGGTGGCAGTTTGCCTGACCCCAAGGTCCCTGATTGACCTGTGGAGATGTTGTTTAAATCAGTTTTACCACAGACAGCATATTACTGGACGAAGCCACCCCACAGATTATGTGCATGACTGCACAGCATAAGCGTGCTTTAAGGACGAAGAAACACAATGCATAGTTGCACTAGCTGCACCAACAAAGTCTCTTGGCTCACTGTGTTTGTCTGACTCGGATCGACACTGTTTAATCAGCCCACCTAAAAGGCTCATCTGCCAAACACCAACGCAGCGTCACTGATGGCTGAATAGTTTTTTTAGATTCACTGAGAGCTTATAATCTAAGCAATACGGTTACATCTCTCATGTGCGATGGGATGTCACAAGCAAGTATAAGGACAGCGTGTGGGAGTTCTCTCTTCTCTACTCCTACGCACCTGTCTACAAGAAACTGTAGTTGTGCTTTAGTTTTTACAGTCTGATTTATTTTAGTTTTTAAACTTAAAACTACAGCCCCAAAGCTGTGAATTCATAAACCTGATATTCAACACTAGGCTCAAATTGAATCCCTGCAGCATAATTAAATCAACTAAAATGAAAAGAATGGATTCAGGTGTTATTAAGAACAAGTGCATAGGGCTCAGTCGGAAAATATAACCACATCAACATGAATATCTCTCTCACTAGAGATATGATTTATATGGTTATTTGTTACATATTTATTTCATCTATAACTTGTGTAGCCATAAATCCATTGACTTGTGTTGGCTTTGATGTGGACTGAAAGGTCTTAATTGTCAGTACTATTGTGGCCATCTGCTTACATTTTTATCACACAGTAAATGTTTAGCATCTTTTTTTGCCCCCAAGTGTGGCTGGTTACCAAGGAAGTACGAAACAGAGTGGAGCTGGTCGAGAGATATGAATGGATCTATTTCTTTTCAGGGGTCAAGAAGTGACAACTCTCTCTCAAATGTTTCTGGTCCTTAAGGCACAAATCTAAAACATGGACCCATGTGCTCTCCTTGAGAAGGTAATAAACCTCTGTTTCACAAAGAGCCTGTGAATAAAGCAAGAGCTTAGCTTGCTGTAGGGATAAATGAAATACATCCCTTGTTAATAGTTCCTTCTCAACCCAAAGGTTTGGCTGAAGGAAAAGGCCACACTGCAAAGGGGAGACAAAGAAACACTCTACTATGAGTTTACAAAGAATGCTTCCTCTGTTTTATCATATAAGGCCCTGTCCAGCCAGGGGGCACTTCCCGTGTTTATGCTCACCTCTCCAGCTTCTAGTGAGTTTCCAATAATTCAGAAAAAGACGTGATGCTCTGTCTTCCAGCAGCCTTGCACGAGATCAACTTTCAATGAAGTGCTTTAACCTTTTTTAGTTTTGTGTGTTTGAAATGGGCATTTTCTCTTTTTTCCTTGTACTGAAAAATCATAGACATTACACTTTACATTTCATCAAATTAACAAAAAAATAATTTGTTGCATTTGTGAATCTTTGAAGATAACTTCCCCAAGATAAAGGTACTGAGAACTTACATGGTGTTAAAATGACTAGCTATATTTTTACTGTATGGACAAAGAGCCTGACACTTTATTCAAAGTTCATATGATTCATTCCTGCAATAGCAGAACTGCCAATGTTGTGTCCTTGACATATTAAATACATTGAACCATGGTATACTCACTGTCTTCCAAAATGGAAATGAAACAGGTTTATGCTTAGTTTACCTCTGATTCTCATATTAATCCCAAATGTGATTCATTATTTTCATTTGACTTAACAAACCCACTTTATTTAGAATATGTTATTGAAGGGACAAAATTTTACTGTTCTGTGATTTACTCTGGACTAATGACTTTGTCCGTCATTGGGCATCTTACACTGCGTTTAAAGGAAACCACATAATTTGATGGGTCATGGTGTTTCCTACAGTGCTTCCCTTGCAGTGCAGCACTGACTGTGCTTGGTGCCATGATCAACTGATTCACAAAAATAAAACCTATGAAAAGCTCTAGAAGAGACAATCTCTCTTTGACGTCTACTCTATTAATATCAAGGTTGATATCAAATGCGTCTTATTACAAAGAGAGCTTACCTAGACTGGACAAAAGCATATCTGAACAGTCAAAGTCAATACTTTATTGCCACACTACGTAGTTGGAAATTGCCTCAGTGCGCTCATGACAGAATTATCATTATTGATTTCTCATAAGCCTGAAAATACTGTTCCCCTAAATCAACCCATTCATCTTCTTTACTCTGCAAACGTGACTGCATAACAATTGACTGTTAAATTTGATTAACCTCTAAAAATCCCCAAAAATGTTTGGGGTTCGTAAACCCACCATACATTTGGGTTTTCATGTGGCTAGTTTGTAGTGAAACAGTGGTGTCAGTTGTGTCTCTGGTGCTCAGAACAAATAATGTTTTATACAAGATGAGCAGAACTAAAGATTAAACGTTAGTTGGCCTTAAGCAAGTTTCAGTTCGCAGACTACTGGTCAACCCGTAAAAAGACTCCTTTGTGAGCAGAAAGTGGTGACGTCAAATGGGCTCTATAAAGGCATAAATTCATAGTTAAGATGAACAACACAGCAATAGGAGGGTGAGTCTCAGTGTACTCCTCCATTTCTTAACTTGCATAACTAATGAGCCTTAAGCCCTGGATAAATTAAGCAGGACAAGTGACTCCTCTCAGATTTGCACATGCTAGCTTGCTGTCCACAGTGTAGGCTAACAAAATAAAGGGATTATATACTGTATACAGATTCTTTTTAGCAGTTACTACTCAAATAACATGTTGGAGATGCTTGAATACAGCCACTATCAGGTGAGATGGGTTGATTTTTTGTCTTTAACTTTATTTAGAAAAACAAAAATAGATGGACTGAAATTGAGTCTGAATATGAATATTGATAATAGTTCATTTCTTCGTTGGAATTGTATTATTTTGACAGTATGTACTGTTGAAGGCTGTATTGTCCCGTCTGTGTCATTATCCCTCCTACACGATCTACACCTGCTATGGTTCAGAATTGTTGACACTATGGAAACCGAGCAGTAATGTAGAAAAGCTAAAGAATGCAAACAAGTTTGTATATTGCAGAGCAAGTTGTTAAGGTGCTGCATGGACTTAAACTGGTCGTAGAGCATGTGACACAACAGCACTGTGGCACGGTGTCCCATCTGTGGAGACATTTTGTCTTGAGTTAATAAAATCAGCCATTGGCAGGGAGAATGATGCTGTCAAACTAATCTACACTGCACATTTGAGATTGGTTCTTCATTTCTCTTATTTCAATAATTGGATTGTAATGCCAGGAGAAAGAGTTGTATTTAAACACATTTCCATATCTTAGCATATACAAAATAAGTGTTCCAAAGAAAGCCTGCAATCAACCTAGAGAAGTAGACTTTTAAAATGGTGTTTTGAGGTCCAGTAATTAGCATGATACAACAGAGATAATGATGCAGAGAGGCAGTAATTTAATTGCAACACAGCAGTATGACTGCTCCGTTTGGTTACTTTTTAAGCTAAGTTTATGATTTGGATTTTAAATAGAAGCATCAAACATAAAACTGAATCTATCTTTAGATTAACAGGTTTTACTTATTATTATGACTCTATATTGTCATTATCACATTAACGGCATTATTTAAATCAAAATTCAAACTGTCCTTTAAATATAATGCCCTATTTGTAAAAGTTCAAGATTTAAGACTTTATTGCCACACTACGTAGTTGTTAGGAATTTGCCTCAGTGCCTCATGACAGAATTATCATTCTTGATGCTTTTTCACATAATTGAGTTTTTTTGAGAAGAAGAAGAATGAAACCGAAATCCCAGGTTGTAATGTTTACTTGTTCACGTAGGTGCAGTCCCACCTGGAGAATCCCACCAAGTACCACATCCAGCAGGCTCAGAGGCAGCAGGTGAGGCAGTATTTGTCCACCACCCTGGGTGGTAAATCTAGCAGCCAGTGTCCCAGTCAGCCCCCCGAGCACGGCATGCCACCCGGGCCTGGAAGCAGCGCCCCCAACAGTCCAATGGCCCTGCTCACCCTCAGCTCCAACTGTGAGAAAGAGGTATGTCATTTAATTTCATTATATTCAGATATCCTGATAAACTGCAATTACTGAATCAAATGTGGCTTTGTGCTGGGCAGATGGATGATGTCATTGACGATATTATTAGCTTGGAGTCAAGTTACAATGACGATGTTCTTGGACTTATGGACGCAGGACTCCAAATGAACAACCAGGTAATTTTTCAAGATACCACCCTGTTTAAAAGGAAATACTGTGTTGTAAATATGACTGTAAAGGATGCATCAGCAGTCTCTATATGTTATAAAGAATTATTACTGTTCACATTCATGTCATGGAATTAAATTTTTATATAAATCATAATTTTTCTTTTTTAACATTCAATAATAACATTTCTTTAATACTCTGTAGCTCCCCGTGTCGGGTAACCTTCTTGATGTGTACGGCAACCAAGGACTTCCACTCCCGGGCCTCGCCATCAGTAACTCCTGTCCACCCAGCATTAAAAGGGAATACACAGGTAAACTACTGAGAGACATCTTTCAAACATATCCTGGATTATGATTGGGGGTTTTTTTGTACTGTAGTTTACCGTACATCATTTGCAAAATTATACTGTAAATTTACAACAAATATATTTTATTTATCATGACTAAATCCTAATTAAGAAAGAATAAAAAAAACATCATATTTCCCTTATAATGTAAAGGTGAAAGCATGCCTATAGGCCAATGCCGATATTGTGTGCAATTTGGAAATGCACAAAATACTATTAAGTCAATTATTTGCTAAACAATTACTCCAGCTCCTGGCATGAAGCAAGTACTGGACAAGCCTGGATCCTGTGGCCAGTATGAAAACTATCAAAGGCCAGAGGGCTTTCCAGTAGGTAAGCAAAGCAAAATGAAGAAAATGATGTTTTGTAAATTTTAAAGCTGTTTTCAATTTGATTTTCAGAAACTGTATATGGCGTTTTGTGTATGACTAAATGCACACAATATAAAAAATGAGAAGCTATGATTTTAGCTTAATTTACTACTTTAATCCACAGAACATGTAAGTGATTTAAAATTTGATACTCCAGCATCCAGCCCAGTACATTAAGATCCAAAATGTGCTAGTTGACAAAATAACAGATTTAGTGCACAGTATGTGAAATACTAACATGTAATTTGAGTCATTTTATAAACTTAGAGCCGTGTCATCCTTTTAAGTAAATCATGACGCTGGCATTCATCTTTCTCTTTGCTCCCCAGAGGCTGAAGTTCGTGCTCTTGCTAAAGAGAGGCAGAAGAAAGACAACCACAACTTAAGTGAGTCAATCAAAATCAAAATCAGAATACATTTTTCACAGCTACTTTTCTTAATGATTGTCTCAATGGTTCTGTAATGTAGTTTTTTAATTTGTACTAAAAGAAATTGTATTTGTAAAATGTAGGTTTATTTAAATATTATGACCTGTAATTAAACTTTCAGACTACAAAGACAAAGTTTAGCAGTCTGCTGTACTTACTGTATGTTTTGTTTGACAAATTTTAGTTGAACGAAGACGGAGATTCAACATCAACGATCGCATCAAAGAGTTGGGAACCTTGATACCCAAGTCAAATGATCCGTAAGTATATTTTCTGTATGTGTTCTATCCATCTATGTTTCATTGAAATTGTTTTTTCTTTGTTGTTCCTCCTATTCACTCATCCAAGTGTCTTTAAAGTGTAATGGCTTATTTGCTTAGAGGGACCATAAAGAATCCTCTGCTGTTTTGGTCAGCTGGTCAGCTGACTCTGACTGTAGACCTTTGTCTCCTGTATACCCCAGAGACATGCGCTGGAATAAGGGCACTATTCTGAAAGCCTCAGTGGACTATATCAGGAGACTACAGCGGGAGCAGCAGAGAGCCAAGGAGATTGAGTGCAGACAGAGAAAGCTGGAGCACGCAAACCGCCATCTGATGCTTCGTATTCAGGTATTCAGGTAGCCTATTAGGGCATTTTAGTATTCTATTCATCAACCAAAGGCTACAGTTAGAAGTGGTAGTATATATAATCTCACCATGAGGTCAGAATTTCAATTTATTCAAGATTTTGGTTTGCAAAACTGCAAAACGGATGACATGCCCATCAGCGTAACTATGTATTTAGTGCTAATTAGCAAATGTTAGCATGCACCCATGTTTAACCAAGATGGTGAACATGGTAAACATTATAGCGGTAAAACATCAACATGTTAGTATTGTCACAGTGAGCATGTTAGCATGCCCCCCCCCTTTCAAAGAGCATAGAACAGCTACGGTGGCCGACACAGGACAAAAGGTGTCGTCTTCTAAGACAGCCGAGAGTAGCCAGTTAAGAAATTAGGTTTCTTTAAATAGATATATTTACTTTATTGTTCAGTAAAACTATATGTTATTGTGACTTGGCCACTGACAGATAACATGGAAAATGTAAGCCAAGAGTGTGTAACATTGTCAGTGTATCTGTACCACAGTCCTGTATAAACCACATAATAGATGACGTTTATACAAACATTGCCATAGGAAACACATTAATTCTCTCTGTGATCATGGACCCTCGCGAAAGGGTCCATGATCACAAAAACTCCAGCACCATTATCTGGCCCGTGTCCAGATAATGGTGCTTTGATAGGGGCAAAAAATAAAAATAAATAAATACTTAGATAGAAGTGCTGAAGTAGATCTCAGTCATGACAGCAACAGTTACTCACATAAGAAGAAGTAGCGCTGTTTGTCTGTTTTTGGCTACTGTAGAAACATGGCGGTGCAACATGGCAACGTCCATGAAAGAGGGCTGCAGTTATATAGATAGAAATGGCTCATTCTAAGGTAATAAAAACATAACTGTTCATTATGTAAGGTCTTTATACACCACTGAAAACATAGTTAGCGATCTTATATTGCAGAAATATTACACACTGAACGTTCAAGTTTATTACATTTAGTACAAATATGTTGTCTACATTACATTTTGTTGTAGGAGTTGGAGATCCAGGCTCGTGCACATGGTCTTACAGTGGTCTCGTCCTCATCTGTCTGCACTTCGGATTTGATGGGCCGAGCCATTAAACAGGAGCCCGTCCTCGGCGACTGCCCCTCAGATCTCTACCAGCAGAGCTCAGCTCCTGACATGTCCCCTCCAACCACACTCGACCTCAACAATGGCACCATCACCTTCGACCACATTCCTGCAGATGCTGGGGACCCTGGTGCCTATGGAAACTCCAGGACCTGTAAAATGAAGGAATTGGTAAGGGACAACACCCTGTCGCCAGTTTCCCCAAGTGATCCCCTGCTGTCCTCAATGTCCCCAGATGGCTCCAACAACATTAGCAGCCACCACAGTTCCTGCTCTAGTATGGAGGAGAAGGAGCACTGCTGTTGACATTGTCTAGTGCCATGAGCCATACTGACACTTTCTATCTGTAGCATCCCGTCAATGAGGCACCGCACCTTAAAGTGACTTAAATGGATCCACATGACTAAGTAGATTAAGGAACATCTGATAATTATTTTTGGCTGAACTCTAATGTTTAAATACTGTATGTTAATGTGACTGAGACATTTCGGTTCCTCCATTGTTCACAGTATTTTTACATTCTTCTAATTTTGATGCCGTATATATTAACAGTCCAGAAAAACTTGACAAACATACAAGAGATTGGTTTTCTGTGAGGAATCTTTCATTTATATCGGCCCACCAATTATGTTGTCATTGATGTTTTCTTATTCTAACAACTTTAACTTCATTTGTACTCTATGTACTAGTTTTGATGAGTAAAGTAACAAAACACGTGAAAGGAAAAGTAGTTCTCAACATTATAAGGTAAAATTACCTTATACTGATAATGTACTATAGTATTTTTTAACTAAAAGAAAGAAAGAAAGAAAGAAAGAAAGAAAGAAAGAAAGAAAAGAAAATTATTGCTTTATTTTGGGTTCACAAAAGACAAACGCACTGGTCCACTAGCCAAAATTTCCTTTATTTAAATTGAGTCCTCTATGTAAAAGTTAAATAATTCCGGACATAATACATCACAAATTTATAATTAAAGCAAATTCTTAATAAATGCAAAATAAAACTGATAAATGAGTAAAAGAAAATGTGATGTGTATGCTAACAAAGGATCACAGCCGCATTTGCCAAAAATGTATCAATTGCTTTGATTTCGTGTTTGTCTTGCATAACTCCTAGTTTAGTTGATGTATACACAGGGGAATCTTCTTTTGTACACAACTGGTTGATAGCATATGTGATATTGTTGTTAATGTTTGTAATATATGACCAGTATTGTAAAAAATACACTTGAGATGCCGATATATTGCAAAAAGTGCCTTTTGTAAAAAACAATAATAAAATATTGTGTGAAAACTATAGCAGATACATTGATCTATTTACCAATTAATATTTCTATCGCATTTGTGGAGCAGCATGTGTGTCAGTCCACATGACAGCATGATGCTCCAATTTTAATAATCAGTCAATATCAGTGAAAGAAAAATGTTACAAATTATGTTTGCTTTAGCATTGCCTTTGCTACCACCATTTAAAGCTTATTATTGCAACAGAGACTTTAGTAAAAAAGTCTGGATACCTTTCAGGGCAGCAAGCTGGTTCGGTGGTTAACACTGTAAGGAGTACTGTAAGTGTGTTAGCACTGTGATCGACTGGCAACCTGTCTGGGGTGTATCTTTCAGTTCATGCTGGGACAAGCTCCAGCTGCTCACCACAGGAGAAGCAGGTTGTGCAAATGGATGAATGGCATAGTGTATGCTCTCTACGGGGAGGTAAAATTAATATCCCATTAGGTATTGACTTGAATGCAACATAAATCACTGCATATTCCTAATATGTCCCTGGATCATTAACCATTTCGAATAGTCTGCCTCTTTCTGATGGACGCAAATGGTTGTGATGATAATAATTCTGATTTGTCTGCGACAATGGCATTTTTAGAAAGACAGTAAAAAAAACTGCACTCTCTATAATGGCCAGCCAAGGGAGACTCCACTGCTTGCAAAAAGATGTCTGATTGTATAGAAGTTTATGACAGAATGACTCAATTTCTCACTTGATTTATTACCTCAGTAAACACTTTACAAATGAGTTAATGGTCTCAATTGCTACTCTATTAAGTCTTCTTCAATACAGATGATGTCAGCCATTTAGAGTAAAATAAAAAATAAAGCAGCACATGCCTTAGGCCGTGGCTACCTTGTGACTGACAAGCTGCTACCATGGAGTGGCAATGCATATCCCTCGCCAGCTCCACCCTCTCGTCCAAATATGGTCACTTCTGGTTCTACAATGCACCATGCAGAGACTTTTGCAATAAGAATGACTTGTCCACTTGTGGTTTATTAAGAGTTGCCTGTAATAATTGTGGGAAGAAGTCTTAACTGCAAAAAACCAATGCTGGTTTGTCATATTTACATTGCAAAAACACTAGGCCAGATGAAAAAGGTTACACTTTAGCCAAGTTAGCAATGAATAGTTTTTACAGCCGTGTATATACAGTAAATGTTCTTTTTGCTGTATTTTTAGAAGTGGTGTTGACAGTTAGCTAGGGTGGTCAGCTATGGCTGTTAGGCTTTTTAGATAAGCAGCAGAAGACTGTTTTTGGCAAACAAGCTCTGATAAACCCACTTTACCTGCCCGCCATCAAACAGAAGGCAAGATTGTAGCAAGGTAAAGACCCAAATGTTTTTTTCTCAGTAGTTGATAGTAATAGAGTAAATATTGGACTTTGTCAGGAGGACAGAAACAGGACTCCCCCACCAAATACTTAACATAACAGTACTTTGATGCACTGTTGACACAGCTGGTCACATCACTGATTAACTGTTTGCTGGAATCCATTCTCCTTCATTTTATTCATATTTTGAACACCTATGCACCTTCTACAGTGTTTGAGAAATGTTAGCTTAAGCCCAAATATTCAAGAGGCATCTCACTTCATTGTGAGTCCAGGTCTGCCCCCCAGCTATTTGACATTTTGGGAGCAAATGTGCAACTAGTTCACCACCACAGGATGAGAAAATGTTTGTTAACTAATGAAATGACACATGCAATAATAACGCTTCCTGTTATTGGTTTGATTGGCGTTCACATCAGAAATGAACCACCCCTTTGAGGCGGACCAGAGAGCGGTTGTTTGGTCTGCACCAGAGTTCAAGTCAGGCGTTAACACCAATCCAAGCAAACCACACAAACAGGGTGAACACTCAAGGTTTTGGTTCAACCAGACTAAACAAGGCTGGTGTGAACCTGCCCGAAATGAATGCTAATGTTGCACTGCCAATAGGCAAATAGGCAAATGCTTGCTAACGCACAGCCATAATAGCTTTCTAAAGGCAGTGTGTCAGAACTGTGGGTTTGTCAGCACGTCAATTCTTCTGCCCTGTCCCAAGGATTATTTAAGTTCATAACATTATTTACTTATACTAACAGGCGGTGTATTGTGAGTTGTTCTAAATTTTAGGTGATTTCATTCACTGCTAATATAGTAGTACAACAATGCAATCTTTTTGTAGACCAACCTGGATGCTGCTCTCAGTGTCCCCTCAAATGATAAAATAATAATCAAAATAGGTAAGTATTTACATTAGTAATACAATATATCAGTATCTTAGTGCCTCTTCCACAAACTGTCTTTATTTGAAAATAAGGATTGTGGTTGTTGAGTGCAACAGTGTCTTCACAGTAAATGGTTTATGTGAAATATGTTATCTTAGATAATTTAAAATGTGTATCTTAGTTGATCTAACTAAATGTTTAGTTAGTCTAACTTTCATTTGTAAGAAGTGACCTTGCCTTATTGTTCAAAAGCCAAAATACTATTCATGCCATTGGAAATTAAGTTAATGAAAGTAAGGAGGATGTAAACATAACATTTGGGATTCGGCTATATAACTGAAACACACACACTGTTTGATAAGCAGTAAAACTCTTTTATGAGGGATACAAGTACACTGTAAATCATTACAGCTCCATTTAGTTATGTCCACTTACCTCTTCTTTTAACACAAAGAGCTCTTACAAGTTTTGAATTTTGGAAGTGTATGAATTTTGAAACTTGAATTAATTTATTGTGTTGACTATTTGATACTTTTGTCAGATATGTGTGTATTAATTGAACTTGGGTTTGTAAGTTATCAGTCGAAAAAAAGGCGGGTATGCGGGGATGGGAGAAAAAGAGTTGCAACCATTAGCTCACTGTGCATTCATGTGCTCTTAAGTCGAAACATGGACACTACTACAAAGATGTGTTGGATTAGCATTATCAGAGCATATAAACAACACGCAGAGATCTAGTTAACTCTACATGGGCAGCAAACTAACAGTTATTTTACATGTAAATTACATGTTTACAAAATATGTATAAGCAATACGTGATTTTCTTGCATGAATAAAAGTTCTGTATACTTCTTTATTTTCCATGTACATTTTATTTCTCTTTTTGCAATAACAATTTAGGGAGGAAAAAATTATTCTGATTATTCCAACACCACATGAATGCACCATTCCCCCCTCCCTTTCCAAGCTGGCAGGAGAAGCTACGGGGGCTGACACGCTCTGTCGGCTCTTGTGCTAACAATAGGTATGGGCTTCCATTTGTCCAAATTTCTCTTCTTTTCTTACTTCTAATAAACCAGTCGACTACTACTAGTACTACTAACGTTACTTGTTGTTGTCCTTCTTTTTCTTCGTACATATTCAACGTAGTGACGAAATGAGCTCTGTAGAGCCGTTTGTCTGTTTGGGCTACTGTAGAAACATGGTGGCGCAACATGGTGATGTCCATGTAAGGGGACCCACAGTGTATGTAGATAGAAATGGCTCATTCTAAGGTAATAAGGCATTATGGAAGGTCTTAAAACACCACTGGAAACATAGTTACTGCATGTATATTATTTTGCATTTCTCTCCACAGGTCCTCCTAAATATTACACATTAAACACTAAAGATAAGATAGTGGTGTACTCGCTCATCCCTGCACTAAAGATAACTCATTCAAATTCCAACATAAATATAGACACTTTTGTGGTAAACAAGAAAGGAGAAGTGCCACCATTGGAAGGGGTACCTGACAACAGCCTTATACGTGTAAATTGAAACAAATTCTCTCACCTTGAAATAGAAAGTTAAATAAATGTTTTTAAGTTGCCTTAACTTGAAACTGTGAGTTAGAATAATGCAGAAGTGTCAGTTAGACTAGCTAAAAGGTTTTTTCTTGCACTGATAAAGAAAAACAATTATTTGTTTTAACACAAAGTATGAAGATGAAACAAGTTATAAAATGTTTAATCAACCAAAAAAGCAACGTTCAGACAACTAGAACACAGTAGTTGTATCAACTTTGTGAATTTAAATTTGTGATTTGAAACAATGACAATCTTCAAGTTGCTGCATCACTTGGTAGCTGTTGCTAAACATACATGAAAATTTAAATCAAAAGTGTTAAACAGTTCAAATATTTGCTCTGTTTTACAACCCATTAAAATTAATTGACAACGCAGACAACATTTGGTATTGTCACCATTTGCACCATTTGAAATGAGCATGAATGAAGCCTGCAGAACATGTAGCATATACAAGTGCTAATAGTTACCCCGCATTTGTCCTTTGAACAATAATGTAAACATATTCTTCTAAAAACATATCGAACTGATGCAGCTGTGGTATGGGGAGGTTAAGGGTCACAGCTGCTGTCAGGAGAGATGCTCAGCTCATCACACCATTTTTCGTAAGCTCTATGCAGGATCTCACAAGATGTGTTGTTAAAAATTTCTAGAATGAAAGAAAGGAGAGCAGAAAGAACAACCTTTACTATAAGCTACTGTGCATATATTACACAAAGTCTGAATAGCATTAGTGCATTCAAAAAAGACAAATACAAGCTAATCTGGTGCCATCATTTGCAGGCAAAAATCGATGACCAAATTAGTTGCCAACAAATTAAATTTTTCTTACTGGAGTGACTTCACTCAGCCAAAAAGGTTGAACTGCAACATTTGCAAAGCTGAACTTTAATGGGATGGCATGGGAGCACATCAGTTATGCTGGAGCATCTGAAGAGGAGGCACGTTGGCTCTCTGGATGATGAAGACTTGTCTCAGTAAGCTAGTTACCTAGCTGGGTTGCCATTATACACAACAATCCAGTTCACATTCCAAAGGTGACTTAAGTTTAGAGTTTTAAATGTTGCATGGTTCATTCAAATTTTACAGCTGGAAAATGTATCGCCACCGAGCACAACTTTAGAGAACACCGGAAAATTGTACCCTTTCTAAATTGCAAAAAGTTGTACAATTTCTGTCTATGCTTGGGTGACCAATGTGGGTAAACATTCTATTGTATCTGTTTGGATCTGTAGGAAAGTTCATTAAAAGACGGATTTGCTAAATCACTCGCTGTATATTATAAGATAAAATAAGATTAAACTATGTCACCAAGCTTCCAGCCTCACTCATTTTGCAAGGACATGCAAACCACTTTTCAGGCCTTAACAGGGATTTCTTTTAAATACTTTAACCTCATTTTTCGAAGCTTTGACCATGTTTAACATGAACATCCAATATTGTAACATTGTAGAGAAGTCATAAAATAAGGAAAAGCAAGAAAGGTCTCCTTTAAGAGTTTTTGGGGCAATGAGAAGGACATTACATTACTTCCTTCTTGCTTCTGAGCATATTTAAAGCTGTTTACACAAAATGCCAATGCTTTGTTTTTTGGTAAGGACGGTCTCTCTCTGTGATTCTTACCTGCTTGCCCAAGACCAACAGGGAGAGGCATTCTGACCAGGCCTCCAGAATGAGCCAGCCTGTCCTGCAGAGACTTCTGTATGAGCTCCATGGTACACCCCTCATGCCAGACAGGCAGCTCCATGCCCACCATGCAAGTGATGACCCTTTGCTTTTCCTCTTCTGTCAATAGACCAATCTCGTTGGACACGTAAACCATGTACGACATATCAATGTTCACTGCCTCGCCATGCAACAAAGATGGGAGAACTTTCTGTTTGAAAAAGAAAAAAGTCAGATCACCAAAAAGGAATGAACATGTAAAAACCCTATAAAACCCATATAATCTGGGAGTGTCATAGACTCACATAGAATAGAATGCATTCTATATACATATGTACAATAAGTGTGTCTAACTATGTTTGCCATGAGATCGATTACCATCTCTAATGCTGGACTGATAAGGTGGCCAAAGTCCACAAGTCTGTTTAGGTCATCCTCCCAAAGATTTGGAGCAAGCTCCTCCAGCATGGTCATAATGGCTATATGAGTAGCTTGTGAAGCAGGCTGCAAGCGCTTGCGTCCGTATACACTGTTGTCAACCTGGAATTTAGTGTCCAACAGCATACAGCCGTGTTCCTCAAGAAGCTCAAAGAGGCCTTTGTCTTTCATCAAAGCCATCTGCAAGAAACCCCGGCAAAAATGCAAAGAAAACTTCAGTGAGTAGTTCAAACATGGAAATGTAAATACAAAAACTTAATTTCTCAGAATCAACACGTCTGCCACTATCAATGAAATTTCCATTTGGAGTGCCAAACCGATGACTGTCTTATTCACAGGCTTATCTAGAGCAGTGAGTATTCCGGATTTTTGTTTCACATTAAACGTTATGGACCCTATTATCATGGCGGCTCAACAAACAGCGAAGCAAACACTTTGACCCTTTTTTTAATTGATATTTTCACTTTGCTTGTGTGTGGGGTATTTTGGAGCACAAGGCGCACAGGAGCGAGAAGAGGTCTAGACGTGAGGGAGGTGCATTGAAATGAGGCTGGCCAAGGCGAGTTGTTGGCATGTTGGTAGAAATTAGGTCCTAGATTTTTACACTGAGAAAAAATGTCTCAGAATCACGACTGTTTCCATTATGCACAGCTGTCCACTGTGTTTACCTCGATTAAATTATGTGCAAATGACACCAGGCTGGTACAAAGTAATCTCACACACGAAGTAATGCTGCTGGGACATATTTTAAGATATGATGTAACCATTTACAACAGGAAATACTGCATAATTATCTGATTGAAGGCATCATATTAACAGCGTCATGCTTTTCACCTTTCACTCAACAACATGATTTCCTGGAGCTGTTTCTTCATTTATCTGTTTTCGTCATGTGTCACTGTGATTGGCACAGCTGCACTTGTCTTTGCACTTGTGCGATTTCAAAGATATATTAATAGTAACATTTATATTGTTACAAAGCGTGATCATGTTAATACTGGAATTATCATTCTCCAGTATGTTTCAGATTTAAGTAAAATATTCCACATCCAGGGACTTTAACCTACCTTTAACATCTCTGCCAGCCCATTGGCGATGTGCCGTCGAGGAACAGTTTTTATGAAGGACAGGTCAAGGAAGGCAGCGGTGGGTGGAATGTAGGTACCCAACTTATTCTTACAGTTTGCAAAGTTAACCCCTGTCTTTGCCCCCACGCTGGCATCGATGTAGGAGAGCAGTGTAGTTGGGACCCTGATGTAAGGGGTACGTCTTCTGTAGAGTGAGGCAGCCAGGCCCACTATGTCCAGGCATACCCCTCCACCAATGGCAATGATGGGCTCTGTACGGCGGTCAAGGGAGAAGCTGTTGACCTCTTCAAGGATCTTTAAGGCCATTTCCATGGATTTGTTCTCCTCACTGGTGGGTAGAGCCAAGATCTTGTATAGGACATTGTATGCATCTAAATATTCAGTTAGCTTGGGACCGTAAATTTTGTAGACTTCTTGGTCAACAACCACAAAGCGTTTGATTGGTTTGTTTGATTTTTTAATGTCCTCCAGCTCTTGCGGCTCAGAGATGTGGCCCAACAGGAGGGTGTCGTTGCTTGGGTCCAGCAAGTCCTGAGTCTCGGTTACCTTGTAAGTAAAGACGATGGGGCTGACCACTGTCCAAGTGGTGCACTTTTCTGTGATGCTCTCATAGCTGCCAAACAAAACACAAATACTTATTATAATGGTATGGGTACCAGTTATTGTTGATGTTGCTTTCTCTGTTTCTGCACAATGTGTACCACCAATGACAGGCATTATTACTAAATTTATGGAGACAAAACATGGCAGCGAAATTTACTTTTGGCATACAACAACAGGACACAGGCACATAAATAAAAACACAAAATTGATATAGAAAAAAACTTGAAAGCTTGAAATAAAGAATTAATTTTGTGCAATGTGGCAAACTGCAGCCAAATCAGTTTATTGATATCATAGCCAAACCTCAACCAAGCTGTAAAAATGAAGGCGAGCCAAAGCATGTTTATTTGTGTGGCACATTTCAACAAGGTAATGTGCTTTAACATAAACATAAAAACAGCATAGAACAATAGTGACATTCAAATACTATTAAAGGGTTATAGAAATAGAAAATAAAAACAACGTCAAACAGGACAGTAATAGCTATAGTGCAGTGTAACATATCAATTTAATAATTTAATAAAAGGCAGTACCAAAAAGGCTTCAGCCAGTCATTTAAAAGAGCTGAGAGTTGAAGCAGACCTGCAATTTTCTGGGAGTTTGTTCCAGATATATGGTCCATAAAAACTGAACACTGTTTTTCATAAACAACAGCTGATATCAACAGGGTCCTTGTCTCTTCAGCGTCATTTTCTTAAATGGGTCCTCTATTAGACAAATGCCCCTTCTGAGTCTCAAGGACCCCCCGCCCCATCCACCACCATTAAGAGATTAGACATCAGTGCCTCCAAAGCTCCTTGTCCCTGTTTTGGCTAGAAGAAAAATAAACAGGTTATTATCAGACAACCCTCTTCCTAAGGGAACAAGCACTGCAAAACACTTAAATCGAACTTGAGACAGAGTAGTACCTTTGGACCTTAAATCTATGCTGTCATGTGGTGAGTATAGCAAAAAATACTGCCACCATTATTTCCACATTTCTTGTAACTTGAACTTAAAAACTCTTTTTCTTTTTACCACCTGAATGCTAACTAAATCCACACTATTTTTAGATCCAGATATTCTTTTACAATCCAAATCTAATACCGTTTCCACATTTTCCAGAGACAAACTATTAAACATTAGGACAAATACACAACAAAACACATGCTGGTCATGTCAAAGTCAAAGTTAGTTCTCCCTCAAATCCTACACAGTTCTGTTTTACCGTAGTTCATCCTTACAAGTTGAACAGGTTGTTGTCTTCCCCCAAGCACACAACATGTGCCCCCAATGGCTTTCTAAAGGCATTATGTTGATTGACAGCAGAATTTCTGCAGGTCTGTAACTTCCCATGAAGCCTGATGGTCTTCCAGCAGCTGTCAAATTGATGATGTATAGCCTCTCATTAAAAACATGAGTTACTTCACGCCAAATTCCAACCAAAGTGAAATACCTGAGCCACTGTGTTAAACTAGACACATTACAAAAGAAGAATGACGACCTGGAGGACATCTTGATGATCCAGACCAGTACTCTAGACAGAACTGTCTGGCCATTTTTGGTATACCAGAAAACAATCTTGAACACTAATAAGGTTTACAAATAAAATAAATTATTATTTATTATTATCTACCTGCTAACAATGTCAAACCAGTCTGATGCCAATAAGTTATGCTTCTCCTAAAGTTTGGATCACTTGATTGCATTTCTTTATGCATTTATGGTTTGTTGGTTTCTATCTTACATTGAGTAACAAATTGAATTTTTAATCTTTTGTCTTTCCATTTCTTAGTTTTTAGATGTAAGGATCTTTAGATATGAGGTTTCTAAGTAGGGTACATCAGTCACTTGACACTCTTCACGTCACCATCTCACTTTGTATGGGCTTTGATGATATAAGCTGTGGAAGTATTTGAACAGCATCGCCTTTATACTGGTTGGAAGCTAAATTGTAAGCTTTTTACACCTGACTGGCTGAAATATATAATAATTAAAAAAAACCTATTCATATATGTTGCTATTTCTTAACATTAGAAGTCTGAATGAGCATTACAATGATCTAGTTTCCCTTTTGGCAGGCATAGGTTGTAGTTTTGACGTAACTGGCTGCAATGAAACATGGCTTACAAATACATCATATGTGGATAATCTTAACCTTGATGGCTATAAGTTAAATACCATAATTAGACTTGGCAGACTAGTTGGTGGAGTGTGTCCATATGTAGATTCAGGACACTCCAAAAATATTTGTGAAGATGATCAATCACATTCTCTGTTCACTGACCTAAATGTAAGCAAAGGTGAAAACCTCATTGTTGGAGTGGTTTATCGACCTAAAGACTTTGAGACTTTTAAAATTAAACTGAATGAATCATTTAAAAAATTGGATTTGTGGGGATTTTAATATCGATATTTCTATTAACACTCTTTATTCCACATCCTTTCCCCGACTATATATACATTTACTGGAGTAATGGAATCCAGCAGGCACAACAAGCACGTTGGTTCAGAAGAAGTTACAGCCACAGGCTTGTGGGCTGGGTCTAAGCAGATATCACCTAACAACCCAGCCAAGGTATCTCTGTCAGCAGTATCTTTTCATAAAGTCACTCATCAATGCCACTTTTTTTGTGAACCGACTAATCACAGTCTTGATCGGGCGGGACAGTAAAAAAAGTTTGACGTGCTACAGCAATCTTTAGAGATGTTGAACTCGTTATGCATGAATGGTTACATTTATTGACAAGTTAGTTCTTAACATTAGGCCAACAAATGAGAGACTAACCACCATGTAGAGCATTTTTCTTGCAAAAGGATTTAATGAATGAAAACAACCCACAAAAATGAAAGTGCTGTTTTGTTCAACTGAAATTAATTATTATATTAGAGGTAATAATAAATTGTATCATTTAGATTCATTAATAGCTCCTGTGTTTCAGCAAGTTTTCTGCTCACGTTCAAAATGTTCTGCACATTCAGAATCTATCCCACATATCTGTGTTTTATGACATTTGCAGAACACAGTTGTAATATTTTGAGAAAAAATATTTTGAGAAAAAACTCATTAGATTGCGACTAGGAATAAAGTCACAATCTAATGAGAATAGAGTCATAATCATTTATTAAAATCTACCTGCCCATACTCTCATTAACCTGCATTATTGCCCTGCTTATATCCCCTTCAGACCGTCTGACAGACACAGAACTCGTTTTGGGACTGTATTTCTCATCATTGGAGGTGGAAAACCAAAACTGAAAACACTTCTGTTGTCATCAGGCATAAATCTCACCACAAATCCACACAAATGTTCAGCACCGTCAATAAAGTGCAGCTCACCGCCGCTTCAGAGGGAAGCATGCTGGAGCAAAGCAACAGTCATTCAAACAGAGCAAAGGTGTCTCTCAGGGAGGGGGACAGAGACAGCAGCGACACAGAGCCATACGTGTGTCACGTTAGTCTCTCACTAAATGGTGGCTGACTGTTTACACACCTTTTGTAAATGTTAGACCATTGTGTCATGTGTCAGACAGTGATACCATAAGGTCACAGTGCAACAGCGTAATATTTCAAAACATAACTTAGAAAATCAACTTAAACGAGAGTAAGAGAAGAAATCTTTTCTAAATCTAAACAAATATGTAAAATTAAAACAAAAACGATCAACATACGGCATATCACACGGTAGGCCTACTTGTATGTTATGACTTGTCACTTACATTATACTTTTTCTGTGTAATTACAGTCATTTACATTACTGTGAGTGAAGAACAATGTTATACTTACAGTTTTGCAGCAGAGACACAGTCAGCGGTGTCCTTATTGTCTTTCTTTCCCATTGTGCTCCTCCATGTACCTTTGACCCGTACCAAGCTAAATTCAGTTTTCTTTTCTTTGGTATCGTTGTCCTCCAGATGAACCTTTCCCATTCTTGCAGTGCTGACTGTAAGTTAGAGATGTCTTAATAATGACAATCCGACACCAAGAGTCTTTTAATACAGCATAGTATTTAGAGAATACCCTGGAGGTCAGGGAGGAGCGTTTGCCTTTATCCAGTTGTTGTGCAACTGTGAGGTAACACCTGCTCCACTGCCTGAAAATTACACTTTTTTTTTGCACCAATGCATTGCACAACTTAGCTATGTAACATATAGAACATGTCAATAACTACATAAAGATAAATGTGGTCATGCACAGCATTTTTGTTGTAATTCCGGTAACTTAGATTTGGAGAATTTTAGAATTGTAGTGCCTCCATGATGAAGTTAGAAGGATTATAAAAGTGGAAACTGACAAAATAATCTGATGCATTAATCCACTCTCAGGATTTTTACAATAGCCTTAACATGCTGTTGCTGTTGGGTGTTTTGCATGACTGAAGATAAGCAGCATTGTTGCAACCTTGACAGTAGTTTTCCAAAAGGCTTGACTGCTGTTTTAAACCCAAGAGACAAGAGAGTTAAAGAGCTTCCATCAAAGTTTGAAAAAACAAAACTATAGTTTTGAGATTTTCCATAAATATGTTGCTAGTTTGACAGGGCTGAATTTTTGTTAGCTGAGTTGTGTTTTTAGAATAACACATATATTTGTTGATGAAACACTGTGTTACAATTTAAATTAAATTCATTTGGCTTTTATAGGATTCAAATGTTTTCCCATAATTGTGTTAAAATACCTTTATTTGAATTGGATCAACATTGGTCCAGTGGTATACAACAAAACGTGGAAGTGCATGGATTGTTGAGGCCTTACAAACTTGTTTTTCTTATAAAACATTCAACAGAACAAATATGTAAAATGAAATATAATATGACATCATGTCTTGCAAATTCAACAGTACGTGAAATCTCAACAACAATTATGGAACATAGAATATTAATTAGATAAAACTTTATTTATCCCCTGTGTAGCATATTTGGGTGTTACAGCGACAAGTAGTAAGTCAAAGAGTAGAGCAGATAAATAAACAAATAAACACAATAGAAATCCAAACAACAATAAATAATGTGATGACTTCATGTGATTTAGAAATGAGTTTTCATTTGAAGTTGTTCTTTTTCTTCCTCCCGCCATCTTTGTCTCAGTCTCTCTCTTTTTGTGTTGCAGTGGAGTCCTAAGAGGGCACAAAATTAAGAAGACCAAAAAGTAAATAAAGTTTTTAAGACAAATGAAGAATAAATAAATTACAAATCTTAATAATGCTGCACTACTTGAGTTACAATTGTCTAATTGTTAAAAATAAAGGGGGCTAAAAGGCGGTATTAAATCCATTTTATGCAAGGTATATTGTGGTACAAACTCACAAAACATACAGTTTTTCAATACTCTCTACAAAAATTATTTTTTGTTGGTCCTTGCATTCCCACCTGAAGCTCATGGTAGACCGTGTGTAGTGCTAGAAGATTGTCTTCTGTAGATCACCTTGGAAGTCCAACCTTGACAGATTGGAGGGAGAGAGAGAGAGAGTGGAGGAGTGTGACATCACTTCGATATGTGCTGCACTTGGACTACAGTTGTTGTATTGGCATTTTAATAACAACATAACAACTTGCAGTGTAATACAGTTCCGTTTAAAAATATCAACAACTGTGACCTGCAAAGTACAATAGAGCTTACCTTTGACACAGTAACTTGACTCCACAATACAATATTGTGAAACATTAGTATTCACTTAAAATTCATTTCAATTACCGTTATTAACTAAGTCAGGTTCAAATTATGTAGGATGCCTCCGTCAGTCTCAAGTTTGCTGCTAACCAAACAAACATATCTGAGTCGATGAAAGAGAGGAGGCTGTATTAAACATTGCATTAAGTGGAAGCCTTGTATTTGCTGGTGCCAATTAGAGTGAAAATTAGATTATATTTCAACATCAAAATTACAAATGGTTATTAGTAGCATAATGATAGTAACAGTAGCTGCAAATAAGACACATTACAAAAATAAATTTAGCTAACTATTTAGATAATGAATAAGGACTCTGTTTCTACTGTCCTAAATTCTTTCATGAGCGTGAAACTAACTGAAAGATAAAACCAGTTTCCTAATTACCATTTTCCAAGAACACTCAGTGTTATGTAAGGTTCAATTATATCAGGGAAATGCCAGCAAACATCCAGTTATGCTGCTGCTTCGCTGTGCATCAAATAAATCTTTCCTCAGTTTGACAGTTTGAAAGTCTCTCCTGACATGGGAAATTTGCAGGACAAATCATGGAGAAAAAGAAAACAAAAACGCAAGCACTGGAAGATGACCAATCACAATTACTGAGGTCTCTATGTGGTGTCTGTGCAGCCCTGACATGTAGTTACAGTGTAAAAGTACAAGTTCAGCTTTACACACATGGACCATCATATTTACATAAATGGGCATCCACATTGTCCATTTGTCCAAGAAGTTTAAACATTTTTGGAAGAATTTAGATTACTTTTGATTGTCAGTGCACAGCTGCCTCATACCACCTCACTTTCTAGGGAGCTGAGGTCAATGTCTTCGGTAAGTCTTCCCCTCTAGTGCTAAGACAACTGCTACTGCTGTCCCTTATCATCCTGCTAAACAAAACTGTGTCTGCCATTATCTTTTTGGAAAAAGCAGCTATCTGACTTCTCAATAATATTCAGACATGCCACAAGAAAAACGATTCAATATTGTCTCTGTAACCCTTAAATCAAATATATAGCTACTTAAATTAACAGCAGTTATAATAACCTTGGGGGGTATAAATCACTTCAAATTAAACTGTTTAAGCTGGACACAGCTGGTGCACCAGTGTACGGCATAGCCTTCAATAGAATGTTCCATAAAAATACAGATAAAAAGAGAACTCAGACATAAAACCAGCTCTCTTTGACCTGGTATGTTGAGATTGGAAAAGAGAACAAGGCCACCAAATGTTTGATGCCATCGGCTACTCCGTCATATCCAGTCTCTCCCCATCTCCCCTCTCAGAAATGTTCTGTATTCTAGATTTCCTCAAGCTAAAGCTGCACTGATCACTTTTTTATGACAATAGATATATGTTTATTTATCTCTACAGAGCATTTTAGTCCATTTTAGAGCATTTGGGTTTTCCATCCCGCTGCTTTAAGCAAAAAAAGCTGCCCGTAAGCTACCTGCCCTGCACCAAACAGCAGAAAGGCAAAGTTAGCAGCAGGTGGACATTTAGCAACTTAAGATGCATACTTTTTACGTATTGGCGGAAACCAAAAGAGAAGACAAAAGACGAACACTGAAATTTCATTTGGCCACACGAAGGTTAGCTAATGTTGTTCATGTATAGGCCTAATGAGCAAATAAGCTACTGCTCGCTAACATGTGTGCAACTTTTGATGGTGACAAAATGTCAATTTAATGTTTAGGCCTACAGCTTGTTTTACGCAGCGCCCAGTAAGTAAATAAACAATTCAGCTTTGGGCTACGATACAGCTGCTCTTGAGAAACACAATTATGTAAAATTATGTATTTGGCAATTAAGTGAAGTCAAATATTTTCATCACTTAGGCCTTAGAGCTTTTTTCACAGCATACATTTGCTGGAAATCACAGGTGTAGCTAATTAACTTCACATGGATCTGTTCCAATAAAATATCCCAGTACATCCATAGACTGGATAAACGTAGTAAACCGTGCCAGTGAGCTAGCATGCACAGAGCAGGACCCTGAAACTAGCCCACCTGAATGGACAGTAGCCATTAATAATCATTTCAATGGTAAAAAATTACTGAGGAGTAGTGAAATAGGCAACTTGAAAAAGCAAAAGACAGAAAAGCACTTTTTGCCTTTGCTTATTTGTTTAAATACAGTTTGATCTCTATATCTTTTTTTACCAATTTAATTTAAACACTCATTTCAGGCACCAGCCAACATGTGAGTAACCACAAAAAAGTAATATTTGCTCCCTGAATAGCAGCACGTTGAACCCAGCGCCGTTTAATAATGTAATCCTTCTGAACCCGGAGACCTCCTGCGGTCCACCACGTGAGGACTTTTTCCCCCCTCTGCGGGTCTCCCTGATACTCTGACGTGCTGTTGGATAATCAATGTTGCGCAAGCTATCTGTCACTCCCCTTTCTCAGCTATTTAAATATGTTGTGTTATAACATGAAGTCTACCAGCACGTCGGGCAGGTAGTCCGACTTGCTGACAGAGCTCGTCACGCCCATAAACGCGCACCATGCCTGCCGAAAAAGGTAAGAGGGTTTTTTTTTACGTTGCGGCGTGGGTCAATCAAAAGTGATTAACACGTTTCATAATTTTAGAAACCAACTCTAGTGGAGTCCCTTGCGGTTGCGCGCCTTTATCAGATCAAAATGTACCTACTGACCGGGCAGAAGTTAGTTTAATATTTGAACTTCGTCGGTTGCCGCGGCTGTTACAGTCAATAGCTGAGCAGCCTCGAGTTCTCCTGGTTTGGAAATATATATGCTGGAGAGCTAACTTAGGCAATCGTTTCAGATTTTTGATCTGCTCAATAGGCTATCACCAAAGATGACGATGCAGAAGTGAGCTGAAATAACTGAATGCGTCACTAACCATTTCAGTCTTCAAAAACATTTTTTGTTTTTCAAGGTAGATATCTCAAACCACTGCTAAGTGGGACAATCCTTAAAGATTTCACACCTGTGAGTGTATAAAAAAAAAGTAATTGTCAATTACCCATTTCCTTAATTATGCACATTGCAAGGTTTCATCTTGCTCATTTATGTATATGTATATATGTATATATTGACCTCAAACTGCCTTTCATGAGTCTTTGACAGCCTCTTACAACTTAAAAAAGCCAGATGCCACAGAGAAGTCTGTTGTCTATTTCAAAGTAACATCAATATATGCTCACTATTCAGATCCTTTTGGAATAAGGTAAAATATTGTGGCTTTTCACAACATTTACTTGATTCATATTGTATGTTAACAAATGATTCTTTGTCTCATGATAATAAATGAATATTTGGCTTTTGGGCTGTTTGTTGGACAAAGTGAGCAATTTGAAGCGGTTCACGCTCTGAAACTGTGATGGGCATTTTGAACATTATTTATTGCTGCAGCCCTAAATTATTTTGCCTAGACCAGGAAAGAGTAGTGGAGAGAGTAGGTGATTACTAAACTAACATTACATTTTGTTATTCCCCCAGTTCCTGACACCCCGGTAGAAGTCCTCGTGGATCTCCTAACAAAAGCCAAGGAGATAGCCACAGGAAGTGGTAATGTGCCAGTAGAGTTGACAAGTCACGTGCAGAAGGCTCTGGACATAGCCAGCGGTCTGGATGACTACTTGGAGCAAATGACCACACAGGAAAGTAAACCTCTGGCAGAGCTTTATAAGTATGTCTTGGCTTCCTACACATGATCATCTATAGGCTGAAATACTAACTGTGTGTGGCACTTTTGTTAATATTTTCATTCATGCTTACTAGAAAAACAATTTCCCATGACTGGGATCAAGTACACAAGGAGGGCAAAACCATGTTCCGGCTTCCCAAGGAGTGCATCACTGGGCATGTTGAAGGTTGGACATTTACTCGCGTTCTGCTCATCGCCATTCTATTCGCTGGTTTACCATAATGTGATAACTAGTGTGCTTTTGGCAGGCCAGGCCCTGAAGATGCTGATACACATGAGTCAAGCTAAGAGGGTCCTAGAGATTGGGATGTTCACTGGCTACGGTGCACTGGCCATGGCTGAAGGGCTTCCTGAGGATGGCTGCTTAATTGCCTGCGAGTTAGAGCCATACCTCAAAGACTTTGCGCAGCCTGTTTTTGACAAGTCTCCACATGGCAAGAAAATTACTGTCAAGACTGGATCTGCCATGGACACCCTGAAGGTGAAAGGGAAAAAAAACCTATCAATCATATAACAATCATGTCTTTGTTTGATCAGTATTCTAATAAATATCTGTCCCTTCCAGGAATTGGCAGCTGCAGGTGAGCAGTTTGACATGGTCTTCATTGATGCTGACAAGAATAATTACATCAACTACTACAACTTTATTCTGGACAACAATCTGCTGAGATTGCGAGGGGTCATGTGTGTAGACAACTCGTTGTTCAAAGCCAAGGTTTATCTCAAAGACACCAGTGATAAGATCGGAATGGCACTTCGAGA